CATCTAATGTGACTATTGCAGTTTCTGATTTGTGAATCGATGTGTGATGTATCAAGTTAAGCAGTCTGCGCATGTTAGTGGTTGAATGTCTTCCTTTGATGAAGCCGGTCTGATCGGGGTGTACAAGTGATGGGATAACTGTTTCTAATCTAGTCGCCAAGGTACTGGACGGTAGCTGGAGGGTAGGGTGGGGTCTTTGTTAGGTTTGAGACAAAGTGAGATTATAGCGGTATTCATTTCAGATGGTAAAATCTTGTTATGTTTTATTTTAGCTGTCATTCTGTTGAATAGTGGGGCGAGTATTGGGGTGGGTATTGGAGCGAGTATTGGGGCGAGTATTGGGGTGAGTATTGGGGCGAGTATTGGGGCGAGTATTGTCCAGAAGTGTTTATAAAATTCAGTGGGAAAGCCGTCAGGACCAGGTGCTTTATTATTAGACATGTGGTGAAGGGCATTATAAAGTTCTATTGATGTTATTGGATTTTCCAGTATTTGTGTTTGTTCTTTGGTCAGTCTTGGAAGGTTTATGTTATTAAGAAAAGTGCAGATGTCCTCTGTTTCTGGATCGTGATAGTGAGTATAGATTTTTATAAAAATTTCTGAATACCTGATTGATCTCCTCTGGTGTTTGCATAATATTTCCTGTCTCATCCTTGATTACTGGTACTGTTGTTTTTTCTTTGTTATGTTTTACTAGATTAGCCAAGAGTTTTCCAGATTTGTTGCTGTGTTCAAAATGTTTGTGTCTTAATTGTTGTATTAGGAATTGAGTCTTCTTATTTATGAGTTCGTTGTATTGTATGTTACATTTCCTTAGCTCATTTTCAGTTTTGTCTTTTGGGTTGTTTAACATCTTATTTGATAATTCCTTAATTTTTTGTTGTGAATTAGATTCGTTTTCTGTATCTTTCTTTTTCTTATGGGAGGAGTAGGATATTATTTTGCCTCTTAGTACGGCTTTCCCGGTTTCCCAAAGTAGTGTTGGTGGAGTTTCTGGAGAGTCATTTATTTCTAGGAAGGATGCCACTCTTTCCTGATATAACTATCAAATTCTAGATCTTTTAGGAGAGAAGTATTTAGGCGCCATCTGAAAGATTTATGTACGTGATTTATATTCCACTTGAGTGAAACAGGGCTATGGTCACTAATAATTATAGGGTGGTATATTATGTCTGAGATGTTAGATGTAATAGAGTTACTGGTTAGAAAAAAATCAATGTGAGAATGTGAGCCGTGAACTGGTGAATAAAAAGAGAATTCTTTCATTGGATGTTTGAGGCGCCAACCATCGCTGAGCCCCAAATCATTCATAAAGTATTTAATGGTATCTATTGATTGCCAATTACGGGTGGAGTGTGCACTGGTTTTTCTGTCTAGATATGGATTCATGATGGTATTGAAGTCACCTCCAATTATAACTGCGGAATCTGAGATATTATAAAGATGACTGAAAAACTCCTGGAAAAAGGGCAGGTCATCAGTATTTGGGCCATATATATTTGCAGTAGTTAAGGAGATGTTGGAGCTGCTAATGTTGATTATGATATACCTTCCTTCTGGGTCTGATATCGTGATGTTATGTTTGAAATTTTTTTGATTTATTAGGATGGAAACACCTCTTTGTTTGGAGTTGTAGTTAGCTGAGAATATGTGACTGAACTGTGCTGACTTCAGTTTGTGATGATTTGTTTCAGATAGATGTGTTTCCTGTAATAAACAGATATCTGCCTTTAAAGAAGACAGAAGGTGTAGTACCTTGGTCTGTTTAGCCTGTGTGCCAAAACCATGAATGTTCCAGGTAACAGACTTAAGTGACGACGTGTGTAGCGTAGAATTCAGTTGTGTGTATTAAAGCTGTTAAATGGGTGTGAAGATGTTTGTGCTTGTCTTCTGGTGTGTGTGGTGTAGAGTGTTGTGTATGTGAGCAGAGATACATCTTTAATATCCGGAATATATGGCAGTGATAAGAGAGGTCTTGTTTAGTGTTTGTTTTTTTCAGAGAAAAAAAAGAATGTTCCTCTGAGTTCTCTTCCTTTACTATGATGAGCTCTTTGTGTTTATAGTGTTGGACTTTAGCGCCGATGGGTCGCGGTCGCTTGTTTACCTGTTTTTATCTCCTAATCGGTTTGCACGGTCAAGTGTAATAGATGAGGCTAATTCCGGTGAGATTTTGAGTTTAGTGACCATGAAATCCTTTAGGAGATCTTCGGGGTTTTCCGGTGTGTGTTCGGGAATGCCAGAGAAGACGATGTTGTCTCTCATACTACAAGCCTGTAAGTCCAGGATTGTTTCTTTTATTTGTTTGTTGTCTTTCATGACTGAAGATATTTGGGTTGTGAGTTCGCTGACGGTGCTGCAGTGTTTTGTTTTCTTTAGTTAGTGTCAGGATTTGTTCCTGGCTGAACTCTAAACTTTCATGGATTGCTTGGAATTCTTTGTGAAGTATTTCGACCAGGGATAGTCCATGGCATCTAGTGCTGAGAGCTCGCTGTTAATGGAGAGCAGGATAGGACTGACCTCTGTGTCTCCCGGTGAGCTGGGGGGGTCGGGGTCATTTACCGTTGGGTGTTTGGAGTTGTTTACCTTTGGTTTTATCTTCTTTTTTGTCCTTATTCATGATGACAACGTTGTAGTAGTGGTGGTTGATGTATTCCTCGAGGGATTCCAGGACGACAAGTTGATAAGTAAATGTATCACTTTCAGAACTTTTTTTTTAGGAGCTAGCTTTGTTTGGCTGGTTGACTAGCAGCAGGGAGCCACCATCTTGATTCTCGCACAGGGTCTCACGAGAGAGTGTTCAGTGCGTCATGTCAGGTGCTGTGTCCTTCACTCTGTTCTCCTCCTACATGGCCTGCTGTTTGTGTGAGAGTGTCTGTGTGTGTGTGTGTGTGTGTGTGTGAGGGTGGACAGCATGGACAGGCTGCTGACTGGCTACAGCTGCTAAAGGAGAACCATACGCTGGACACTTGTGATATTTTAAACATCTGGTATTTTTACATAAACTGTTATGGCTGCATTGATTTAAATAACAATAATGCGGTGGGTCCACCAGACCACTGAGTAACACACACATCAACACCACACAGGGTAATAAGGTAACAGGGGCTGGAGAGGCAGATGCTGCAGTTGGAGGTGTGAGGTTTTTACTGCAGAGACAAAAGTTTTTGGAAGGTGTATGTCCCATTACATCTGGCGTATGTCCCATTACATCTGGCGTAGAAGTAACATAGCATTTCAGAAAAGGAACATCCTACCAACAGTAAAATATGGTGGTGGTAGTGTGATGGTCTGGGGCTGTTTTGCTGCTTCAAGACCTGGAAGACTTGCTGTGGTAAATGGAACCATGAATTCTGCTGTCTACTCAAAAATCCTGAAGGAGAATGTCCGGTCATCTGTTCGTGACCTCGAGCTGAAGCGCACTTGGTTTCTGCAGCAGGACAATGATCCAAAACACACCAGCAAGTCCACCTCTGAATGGCTTAAGAAAAATAAAATTAAGACTTTGGAGTGGCCTAGTCAAAGTCCTGCCCTGAAGCCGATTGAGATGCTGTGGCATGACCTCAAAAAGGCGGTTCATGCTCGGAAACCCTCCAATGTGGCTGAATTACAACAATTCTGCAAAGATGAGTGGGCCCAATTTGCTCCACAGCACTGTAAAAGACTCATTGCCAGTTATCGCAAACGCTTGATTGCAGTTGTTGCTGCTAAGGGTGGCCCAACCAGTTATTAGGTTTAGGGGGCAATCACTTTTTCACACAGGTCCCTGTAGGTTTGGATTTCTTTTTCCCTTAATAATAAAGACCTTCATTTATAAACTGCATTTTGTGTTTACTTGTGTTGTCTTTGTCTAATATTTAAAATTGTTTGGTGATCTGAAACATTTAAGTGTGACAAACATGCAAAAGAATAAGAAATCAGGAAGGGGGCAAACACTTTTTCACACCACTGTAGTATCTGAGTCAACTCCATCCTGTGGAACTGCCGCCTCAAACCAGTGTTTTATTCTAGCATCTTACTTACCTGCCTTATTACGCCACTTATCGGACTGTTACTTCACTGATCCCTTTCTCTTTCTTTACACCCTTTAACTGCTGCTGCACTCAGCACTTTAACTTTAGACCCATATTTTGCACAATGTAAGGTTTACAGGTATGACTGTGTGTGTGTGTTTGAGTGAGTGATGGTAGGAATGCATGTTTTATTTTATTTTATTTTATTTTGTTATATTTTATATTTATTTTATTTTATTCACTACATGTAAATGTCTGTCTGATACTGTGCACTGTGAGCTCCTGTAACCAAAACCAAATTCCTTGTATGCGTAAGCATACCTGGCCAATAAAGCTTGATTCTGATTCTGATTCTGATGAAAAGAGTTTCATTACACAGGTAATGACAAGTAATGGTCAAGATTAATAGAACGCATATAGGATATCTGACAGTACCACCCCTCTCCCAATGTTTGCATGTATTAATAATGATTAATTACAAAACACTGGTCTGTTAAAAGACCACCTGAACAAGCCAATGTGGACTGACAGAACAATCTTTTCTATCATGGTTTCTCCTTTTAACTGTGGTAATTGTTTTGTATTGCTGCTAAATTTCTACCAGGATACTTTATCTGTAGCTCTTATTTTTAATCATTTCCTTTGTGTAGTGTGTCCATTTTGGTACCCAAGCAGGTGGGGAACATGGATCATTAAAATACATTAGATTAACATGGTTGTTTAGTTCAGGTTATACCTAGGACATTGAACTGCTACAATGGTATGAGCAGATGGGTGTTGTAATCAAAAGTGTGGTGTTTTCATGAATAAATTCATTACTGCACTGGAAATTTTGTGTTGCATAGTGTGTTTACTGCTGAGTTTGACATTTGGCCAGATTCAAAACCCAGAGATTAAGTCATTAAAGAAAACCACTTAACTCCTGTGACACTGGATCTCTTAAGCCCCATTTTAACTGTTCTTTGTGCTGTGTTTGTTATTCCTTTGCAGACTAGTTCACTGTAATCTCACAAAGAAATCCTGTGAGACTCTTTGCTCTGCTCTTCAATCAGCAAATTCCTCCCTGAAAGAACTAGACCTCAGTAACAATGACCTGCAGGATTCAGGTGTGCAAGTGCTCTCTGTTGGACTGAAGAGTTCGCACTGTAAACTGGAGATACTCAGGTAAGTACTGTATAAATTAGACATTAAACTAAAATTAGTAAGATCTGACATTCCATAACATTCAGAAATGCATAGATAACAAAATGGTGACAAAAGGTTCAGTTAATGTCACGCATCCGTCGAGCTTTCAGAGAAACCTCTGGGAGATCACATGACTGCTGTGCTTCCCTCACACTCGGGACCTAACTTGGACTCCATTACCCAGATTTCTCTGGGGAATCACATGACTCCTGACCTTTTCTCGCGCTCCTATCAGCGCTCTGGATCTCCAGAACATTGATATTGATGTCACTGTGCATTGGTCATATGACTTTCATAGTTTAGTTTAAAAGCCCTGGCTTTAGGTAGAGATAGTTGCGAGGTATTAGAAGACTAAGATTCTAGACTTTGATTCTGCTAGTAAAGTCTCTGTTGTGTTTTCAAACTGCAAGTGTCTGAATCTTGTTGGCACGTAACAATTAAAAAGAGTATAACAGTTTTATGATCTTCAGTCTGTGCTTGAGGACAGCAAGGGAAGTTCATGCTGTAGCCTCTTTGGGGGGTGGGGGTCAAATCTTCTGGATGTTTTAGAGCAGAAATCTGTGTAACCAAGTCAGGTTTGCAACATGTGCTAAAAAGATAACTGATTCTTCAGGACTACAAAAGGAAGATGGCATGACAAAAGTTCTCAGTGGAGATCAAAGTGAGGAGCTTTATTTACATGCAGGCATAGCAGCTCAGTCTTGCTGGGATTCAGCTTCAGGTGAGGGCTGCTATCTATGATGCCAAACTGCAGTGTGTCAGTTTGACACTAGACTTATTGGGATCATGGAGCTGATTCTGAGTAAGAAAGAGAGATAGCTGATTATAGAGCGTTCAAGGATTTTTAAAAGGTAGGAAAGGAGACATGCAGGTTAGTAGTTGGTGACATTGCAGGTGTCTAGCGTGGATTTCTTTAGGACAAGTATGATTCTGGCAGTCTTGTTTGTGTCTGTGAACATCCCTTATAATTAGTGGTTTTAGCTATTTCAGACACTCTCATTGCTAATAAGTGAATAAAATCCAGTATGCAGCCATAACCTTACACACACTCGCAGTAGAACTGGCCATGCTGTAGCGCTCGGTTACTTTCAATGTGGCTCTCTCAGAAGATAGCATCGTGTCAGTTGATCACAATTCTGCCTTATTAGGTCTTCCCTGGTTAACTGTAAGTGCTGTTACTGTGATGTGGAAATGTGTAGGTGCAATGATAGCTCAGCTTTGAAGCACTGAGCCACACCACTAACAGAATGGGACAGTGGAATGTTGAAGCATGTAGCATATTGAAATCATCTGGCTGTAGCAGTCAATACTGAGTTCCAAACTCAGCTTACAATGTCAGCAAAAATGTCAGTAGCCCTCTTGTAGAACTTAAATCCAAAATAAGTAAATAAATATATATAAGATATATAAACAAAGACTCTAAATATATACACATATACTCAATATACACTAGTACTGCAGTTTCCAATGTACAGTTGTACAGTAATAAGATATGAAATGAAACTGATATGTACTGTTATACACATTTCGATATGTGCAGAGTCTGAGGTAGATAAACAAATGAGATGTAGGGTGCACAGGGGATAGAATATTTGTGCAGAAATCCTAGGTAGAAGATATGTATACAGCAACATATCAGTTTATATGTGTAGTATAGATTTGCTAGATTGGAGGTGCAGTAAGATCAGAGTAAATCTATTTTGATGTGGATGAGGTGTAGATTGTCCATGGAGATCATCATGATGATTCAGAGGTGTAGTGAAAGGCCTATAGACTGATACACCAGCACTACAGGCTGTTCAGCAGCCTGATGGCCCTGTCTCGGAACTGGCAGGTTCTGGACTTTATGCTTCTGTACCTCCTCCCGTTTGACAGCTGTGAGAACAAACAGTGGCTCTAAATCCAGGAGGTTTGGGAGCAGGACCCAGGTGATGTTCTGGACTGTCCGCGCCACCCTCTGCAGAGCCTTCTGCTTCATGGCAGTGCAGTTCCCATACCAGGTGGTGATGGAGGTGTTAGAATGCTCTCCATAGTACATGTGTAGAAGGTTCTGAGGATGTGGGAGTTCATGCCAAACCTCCTCAGCCACCTGAGGTGGATGAGGCCCTGTTGTGCCTTCTTCACCACCCGTGTGGTGTGTTCGCTCCATGTCAGCTCCTCTGAGATGTGAACACAGAGGAATTTTAAGCTGCTGACCCTCTCTACAGTGGCTCTATTGATAGTGATGGGGGTGTGCACTCTCTCTTGCTTCCTGAAGTCCACTATGAGCTCCTTGGTCTTGTCAACATTTAGAGAGAGGTTGTTCTTCTGGCACCAGTGTGTCAGAAAGCTGACCTTCTCTCTGTATGCCTCCTCGTTGTCATTGGAGATTGGACCTACAATCGTGGTGTCATCTGCAAATGTGATGATGACATTGGAGCTGTGTCTGGCTGAACAGTCGTGGGTGTACAGGGAGTACAAAAGAGGGCTGAGCATACAGCCCTGAGGAGCTCCGGTATTAAGGATCAGTGAGGAGGAGGTGATGTTGCCCATCCTAACCACCTGGCGTCAGCCCGTCAGGAAGTTTAGGATCCAGCAGTACAGAGAACTGTTCAGACCCAGATCCCGAAGCTTAATGTCGAGCCTTGAGGGCACGATGGTGTTGAATGCTGAGCTGCATTCTCACATATGTGTTCTTTTTGTCTAGATAGGAGGGGGCAGTGTGTAGAGGCAGGGCTATTACATCATCAGTGGATTTGTTCTGTCTGTAAGCAAACTGCAGCAGGTCCAGAGTGGCAGGTAGTGAGGAGCAGATAAAGTATCTGACCAACTTCTCAAAGCACTTGCTTATGATGGAGGTCAGAGCAACCAGGCGCCAGTCATTTAGAGTATATACCCTGGAACTGACACCATGGTGGCCAGTTTGAAGCAAACAGCAACAACTGAGACTGTAACTTGTTACACCTGTTTTTGTATGATTAGTGTTAGTATAAAGCCCGAGCTTGTAGACTAGTTTGTTGCAAGGTATTGCTTCTCCTAAGAGCTACTGAGTGTTCTTTATCTGTTTTGTGATTTTTCCGGTTCTGACTGTATTTTGGTACTTTTGGCATTTCTGCCCTTTTTGCCTTTGCCCCTTGTACTCTGGTTGCCAGGTTATGTTTGTGTTCTTGTGTTTTTTGACATTTCTGGATTTTACCTTTGCCTGTTTGCTGACCATGTTTTTGGACTGTGATTCTAATATTAAAGCCTCACTTTCTCTTTTTATCCACAAGTGTCAAGTTATTCAGCCGAAAATGCCGATGGCGGATACGGAGGCTTTTCAGAAAGCTCTTAACAAGCAGTGCCAGTTACTTGGTCATCACCAGAAAGTATTAACAGGGTAACACATTCACTTGAGTCGCTTGCTCAACAACAGTCTGAGCAACAAGCCCAGCTGGCACAACTAGTGGCTTCATGGTTTTCAGTAAGTAAACCTGATAAATTTGATGGTAACCCAGATAAGTGCCAGGGATTTTTGTTGCAGTGCTCTACTTTTTTTGATAACACTCCAGGTAGCTGAGATCAGGCTAAAATTTCATTTTTAGTCTCATGTTTGTTCGATAGACCACTAGAGTGGGCTACTGCGAGCTGGCAAAGAATCCACTCATACTCAGTTTTTGAAGGAGTTTTTGATCACCCCAATGAAGGCAAGTTAAGTGGAGAATTTTTGTGTAAGCTACGACAGGGTAATCACTCTGTTGCATTAGAATTCCGCACCCTGGCAGCTGGTAGTGGGTGGAATGAGGCTGCTCTTTTGACTATGTATCGTCAAGGACTGAATTCTGATATCATGACTGAAATGGCATGTAGAGATGATGACCTGACATTAGATCAACTTATAACTCTATCTATATGTCTAGATGAACTCTTAAGTGTGGCAAACACAAACAATAGAATGGCTACAAGAACATGGACAGTCGATGAACCCATGCAGTGTGACTTCACGTCTGTCCAAAGAGGAAAGGCTCCGTTGGCTGACAAGAGGCCTACTCCTGTATTGTGGTGTTGCTGGTCATCTCCTCAGTGACTGCAGAGCCTGTCCACACAAAACTTTGGCACCGACTTGTGGAAAGCACGTGGAGTGATGAGGGTTCCCACAAAGGGGTTGGTTTCAAAATCCTTTTATGAGTACTTGGTAATGCTTTTCGGCCTTTCTATTGCCCCTTCCATTTTCCAAGCTTTCATTAGTCAAGTCAAATCAAAGTTTATTTATATAGAACTTTTTACAACGGGTGTTGTCACAAAGCAGCTTTACAGAAAAATCTGATACTTGGGGGACGCTATATTTTACTAGCGTGTGATCAGAGTGTTTATTGTTAACACTGACAAACTGATAATGGTCTGTCAGATAAGATCGGAAAAGCCTGTCCTTTGATACCAACCAGATTTTCCAGTCTATCAAGGAGGATTTTGTGGTTGATGATATCGAACGCTCCACTGAGATCTAGAAGGACTAGTATGCAAATATGGCCACTATTGAGAGAGACAAGGAGATCATTTACTACTGTAGTGAATGCTGTTTCAGGACTGTGAAAGAGTCTAAAGCCAGACTGAAACATCTCATGGAAAGAGTTTTCTTGTAGATAGGAGCACAGTTGATGTGAGATCACTTTTTGTAAGATCTTAGCAACGAAGGGGCGATTGGAAATTGGTCTATAGTTGGTGAGTACATTGGGATCAAGATCTTGCTTTTTAATTAGGGGTTTAACGACTGGTACTTGTCCCAGATTGAGGGACAAATTTATTATAGACTGCAGGGGTTTGACAACACAGGGGACAACCTGTTTGAGCAGTTTTGTGGGTACTGTGTCAAGAGTGTATGTTGATGATTTGGATGAGCTACTTACTGTGACATTCATTTGGTTGGATAAGACTAAAAGATAGCAACTGTACTTTTGGGCTGGCAGGGCACCCATCATATTGTGATATTAGATCTATAGGCAGATTTTGGATTTGTAGTCTAATATTTTCTGTTTTATCATTGAAGAATCTGATAAAATCATTGCTGCTGTAGGTTGTTTGAATATTGTCTTTAAATTGTTCAATATTACCAGTTAGTTTGGATATAGTTGTGAACAAGATCTTAGAATGATTTTTGTTATTTTCAATTAGTGATGAAATATAGGATTTTTTGCCTGCGTTTAGTGTATGCTTATATTCTATGATGCTGTTTTTCCATTCAGTTTGGAAACAATCTAGTTTTCATATACGTCATTTACGTTCCAGACTACCAGCTTTTTGTTTTACTGTGTGTGTATGCTTGTTGTATCATGGTACGAGCTTATCAAGAGATGACTGATGTGTGGATTGCAGAATTTCAGTAATGTTTTCAAGATCATCCAAGTCCAATGGGGCAGGGATGATTGATAAATCTGGTAAACAATGTTTAAAGTAACTGCATTTAAATCTGTGGGAATAACATAATGGTAAACGGCGCTGGAAAACTGTACAATGAGTAATCTTGATGCTTGTATGTAAGAACAGCTGTTTCTCAGTTGACTGAGAATATCAATGCAGGACATGATCAGACTGTCGGCAAGAACAGTCTGTCCACAACTATACAGAGAGGGATATTATTATAAAGCTGTGGTGCAGAAACCCCTTATTACAAAGACAAATGTTCATCTGAGAGGACAGCTGTGTAGTGGTATAAACCATCAGCACTGGTCTACAGAGATGTGCAGAACAGTGATATAGTCAGATGAGTCATCCTCCACTATGTTCTCCACAAGGGGGTGGAGAACATATCTGCAGTGTACACCAAGAGAACAGTACAGGCCTGAATGCTGGACCTCTACAGTGCGGGGGTCTGGTTTCTGGCATGGTTTGCGGCCACTTGTCCCCTTAGAAGTCACTAGAGATTATTATTTTGAATTATTATTCAGAGTTATTCTGACTGAGTGCCTTTTATGTTATGATGACGCATTTGTATTCTAATGGGAGGAGCCCCCATCCACAGAGCATTAGGGGTTACTGAATGATTTGATGTTGATGAATTAGTCAAGGGACAGATTTACAGTCAACTGAGAATGTTAATGACCACCCTAGTCAGTTTTACTATTATGTTTTTTAAATTGCTTTGATTGGTAAAATCAAACTGTTGATTTCACAGCATGTGAAATCAACAGTTTGAACCACATCTGTTTTTGTTCCATGTAAATAACATCTGTCCCTCTTTTTCCTTTCTTTCTGCAGATTGTCTGGTTGTATGGTTACAGCTGAAGGCTGTTCTTCTCTGGCATCTGCTATGAAGTCAAACCCCTCCCACCTGAGAGAACTAGATCTGAGCTATAATCACCCAGGAGAGTCTGGAGTGAAGCTGCTGTCTGATATAAAGGAGGATCCACACTGTGCACTGGAGAAACTCAGGTGTGTGTGTGTGTGTGTGTGTGTGTGTGTGTGTGTGTGTGTGTGTGTGTGTGTGTGTGTGTGTGTGTGTCTGTGTGTGTGTGTGTGAACATTTGCACTCTCAAAACCCGGTACATTACTGGCATGTCTTTGCCAATGATGTTTAGGCTTTGAGTTATTTCAACCTACAGCTCTTAAATGGTTGGTTTTAAACAGTTCCGGCTGTGCACATTCAAGTGTTTTTTACTGCTTTTCTGAGTGGTCTGCTAAGAGACTCATGTACAAAATACATTCAAATTCAAATTTCTTTGTGTAGCACCTTTTATATTGAGTACTGATATAAAGCAGCTTCACAGATATCCTGGTCCAAGCCCCATGTGAGCAAGTCAAGGGTGACAGTTTGAAGGAAAACTCTCAAAACTTTCCGAGGAACCAAGATTCAAAAAGGGAACACATCTGACTTTGGTTGACACCCGATAGCAAAATAATCACAAAGCAATGACAGTAAGGGAGCTTTCAGATGAAAAGCATTTTGTGCTTCGCTCACCTTGAAGCTGAGCACACACTGCTGCTTTGCTTTACCACTGGGTTTGAGTGGTGCTACATCATTAGTACACATGCACTGTAGATCAGCGCAAGTTTGAAAACCATTTGACATAGGTTATTCACAGGCACTTTTGCAGTTTTGGAGAACATGTATCTCAGTTTAAAAAAGGCTCTGCTTTTGGTCATTATGCACACATCATGCAGAACAATGAGAATAAGAATTAAGTCCATGACTGTAAGGACAAGTTAGTATGAACGAGCAAGGAACTCAAGGAAGCGTAGCGTGGTGCAAGTGTACAAGTTAGTCCATGCAGGGATTCCTCCTTCTCTTGCCTAAAACACAGACTCTAGCAAGAGTTCAAGGGAAAGTGGACTGTTCACTAAAGTCTCCATGACATGACATCCAGCCAAGAACTCCTGAGAACTCACTTTCTGCTTGGAGTTCTGCTTAAGGTTCTATCTGGCAGAACATAAAAAGAAGCAACAATTTTCTAGGTACACAAACAAGTCAAGTCAATTTCCCTGTGATTCCAACCATGTTTTCTAACCTTTCTAGGAGAATATTGTGGTCTATCGTATCGAAAGCTGTGCTGAGGTCAAGTAGTACCAACAGGGATATGTAGCCTTGATCAGAGGCAAGAAGATAATTTGTTATCTTAACTAGAGCTGTCTCAGTGCTGTGCTGTGGCCTGAATCCAGATTGGAATTTTTCATATATGAGGTTCTTATGTAGATATGAACTAAGTTGTTGGGCTACAGCTTTTTCTAAGATCTTAGATATAAATGGTAGGTTAGAAATAGGCCTGTAATTAGACAATACGCAGCATCAAGGTTTGGTGTCTTGATCAGAGGTTTAATAACTGCTAGTTTAAAAGCTTTCGGTACATGGCCCAGGCTATTAACTACAGTTAAAAGAATATTTATGATAATGGGTAGTACTTCTTTGAGTAATTTTGAGGGAATTGCATCAAGTGTGCAGGTTGTGCAATTTGCAGAGGAGATAATCTTCTCTAATTCTGGCTGTGTGAGTGGGTAGAAATTTTCAAGCAACTTCTGCAACTATGTTATGTTTTACATCAGCCAAGTTGGATTTAATACTGTGAGTTGAATTTGTTGTCTAATATTTTCAATTTTACTATTAAAAAGTCCATAAAAACATCACTGGTGAGAGTTGCCGGAATTTGTGGTTCAATACCTGCCTGATTTTTTGTAATTCTGGAAATCACACTAAACAGTACTCTAGGATTATGTTTATTATTCTCGATCAGCGAGGCCAGATATGCTGAGCGAGCTTTAGTGAGAGCATTTCTATACTCTATAAGGCTTTCCTTCCAGGCAAAGTGGAACACTTCTAGCTTGGTTGATCACCATTTCCGCTCTAGTTTCCGTACTGTTTGTTTTAAGGTACGGGTTTTATCATTGTACCATGGGGCGAGCTTTTTCTGTCTTATCCTTTTGAATTTAAGTGGCGCCACATTTTCTAAAGTAGATCGGAAGGTATTTTTTAAATAGTCAGTTAATACATCTAGCTCCATTGGGTCTGATGGAGTGGAGACTAGGGTTGTTAGTTCTGGGAGGTTTTCTCCCAATTGTAGGGCGGTAAATGGGTTTATTGTGCGCTTTGTAGAATAGCGAGGGGACATACATGTATTATGGCTAAGACATAGCTCATAAGACAGTTTGTACTGTTTGTGTATAAAGGTTAGTGCTAAATATTTTGTCCAGTGCAGAGGTCAGTTCGAGGAACCATCATTTTAAGTTTCCTTTAGTTCAGACAGAAACAGCTACTGTAATAAACTGTCCCAGCAGGTCAGTGTAGCATGTCAGTCTAATGGCCGTGTGAGGTTTTGTTTTATGTCAGAAATGCAACTCTAATGAGCTTATTTTGGGATAAAGAAGAAAAAGAATAGATGAATGAATTAATTAAATTAATGTTTATGTTGTAATTAAGAGCCCTTCAATTTAAACGTTTACTACTTAATTACCTTTAATGCTTAATATTTATAATATATGACAATAAGACTTTTTAAAGAGCTGTAAGAAGACAGGTAGAGTTTCAGCCCCTCCACTCCACCATCAACAAACCTGAGTGAGTGAGTGAGAGCAGCGGGACGACAGCACCAACACTCCCAGTTTACTGAACATGAGCCCCCACACTGTAAAACTTACTGCACATCTTAATGAAAGAATTATGTTAACACAACTTAAATACTACAGAAAGTTGTAGTAACTTAATCTGAAAAATTGAAAATAAAAATGAATGTTGAGATAGTAACTCAGTCATTTTGAATAAGACTGTTTTCAGCATATTCTGAGTTAAGATAACTTTATTTAAATGTATTATATTTACTATTTTTATTTAACTTGACCACACTGGAAAGGAGTCAAACCGGTAGTGGAGCTTAACAGTGAGTTCTGTGCAAGTTCTGCCCATAGCAGATATTTCACCCAATCAGAGGGATTGTCGTGACAATATATCCTTAGAAATTTTCCCAGTTCCTGGTTCACGTGTTCACATTGTCCATTCGTCTGGGGATGATAACCAGATGACAGGCTGACAGAAACTCCGAGGTGCTGAAAGAAAGCTGCCCACAATTGGGACGTGAACTGCGGGCCTCTGTCCAAGAGGATATCTTCAGGAATACCAAAATGCGAAACACATGTTGGAATAAAGCTTGAGCAGTCTGAAAGGCACTAGGTAGTGCTGCGAAAGGTATAAACCTCACAGCCCGGGAAAACCTATCCACCACTGTCAATATGGTCGTAAATCCCTGTGATTCAGGTAAATCTGTAACGAAATCTACTGCTATGTGGGACCAAGGCCTGTTGGGTACTGGCAAGGGCATTAACTTCCCTGTTATGTTCCCTGGGAGAGTCTTTGGGGTTTTACACTGCGAACACGTTGAACATGACGAAACAAAGAAATGAATGTCTTTCATCATAGACTCCCACCAATAACGCTGGGCTAACAATTTATGAGTGCGTGTCTCTCCCGGATGCCCGGCGGTGAGGGAGGAATGTGCCCAAGTAATAAGCTGGGTGCGAAATGCTTGCGGGACATACATTTTGTCCGGTGGACATTGACTGGGTATAGCTCGGTTACTAAGGGCCTTTTCGATGTCTTCATCTATCTGCCATCGTACGGAAGAGATGGTTACGTTGGGGGGCAGCATGGGTTTAGGAGTTTTAGCATCGGCCACGCCCTTTTCTCCTTCGTTGATTCGAGACAAAGCGTCTGTCTTCGTATTTCGGGAGCCTGGTCTATAGGTTATATTAAAACGGAACCTCGCAAAAAAAAGGAACTACCGGGCCTGTCGTGCATTAATTCGCTGCACAGTACGAAGATATTCAAGGTTTTTCTGGTCGGTAAGGACTGTAAAGGGGTGGTTGGCACCTTCCAGCCAATGCCGCCACTCTTCAAGGGCTAACTTAACTGCTAATAGCTCACGATCACCTATCCCGTAATTCTTTTCTGCCGGAGACAACTTATGAGAATAAAAAGCAACAGGATGTAGTTTAGGTGGAACTCCAGTTCTCTGTGATAGAACTGCCCCAACTCCGGTTTCGGAGGCATCTACTTCTACCACAAAAGGCTGTTCTGGATCAGGGTGTTTCAGGATGGGTGCAGTTGTGAAAGCTACTTTGAGAGCCTGGAATGCCTGTTCTGCTACTTCGGTCCATTTTATCTTCTTGGGGTTACCTTTAAGCAGGGATGTCAGAGGAGCGGCAATGCTACTAAAGTTCCTGATAAAACGTCTATAAAAGTTTGCAAAACCCCAAAATCTCTGGAGTTCTTTGACAGAACTAGGGGTAGGCCATTGAGTTACGGCGTTGACTTTCTGGTCATCCATGATGACTCCCTGATGGCTTATTATGTATCCCAAAAAGGATACGGACTGTAGATGGAATTCACACTTTTCGGCTTTTAAAAACAGATTGTTGTCTAGCAGCATTTGTAGAACTAAACGAACATGTTTCACATGGGTCTCAAAGTCAGGAGAGTAAACCAGGATATCGTCCAAGTATGCCATCACATTTTGTCCTAACATGTCTCTGAGTGTGTCATTAATGAAAGCTTGGAACACAGAGGGGGCGATAGAGAGCCAGAAGGGCATCACCAGGTACTCATAGTGCCCCCTGGTGGTCAAAAATGCTGTCTTCCACTCATCTCCTTCCCTCACTCTAACCAAGTTATAAGTACTACGGAGATCTAATTTAGTGAAAAACTTAGCGCCTTTTAGCTGTTCTACTGCCACGGGTACTAGTGGAAGGGGATATGGATATGATTTAGAAATTTGATTAAAGGAACCGGTAATCAATACATGGACGCAATCCTCCATCCTTCTTCTTTATGAAGAAAAAACTAGACGCTATAGGGGACGTAGAAGGTCTGATGAATCCCTGATCTAGGGCCTCTTGAATGTAAACATCAAGGGCTTTTTGTTCTTCCTGTGTGAGTGGGTATACTCTAGACT